GAGTTCGCAGTCCCTGCCTGCGCTAACATCCCACACCCCCAGCGGCACCAGTTTTAGGACGGAGCGGCAGAACGCTGACGCAACTCGCAGGAGGCAGCGCAGGGCTGACCCACTTTGCAGGCAGCCAAAGCCATCGGGCCGGTGCCGGTCGATAGTGACCGGAGGACTCGGCCAGCGTTCACCGCGCCCCTCCTCAGTCCTGCTTTATTCCCCGCCCCTCGAGAGGCCTTTTCAAGCCTCGCCCTTACCCTGTGTGCCCACGATCTCCATGTGCAGGTGGGCGAGCCCGCTGGCGGCAGACAGGGCGAGCTTGATCATGCCCTCGATGGTCACTGTGTACCGGTTCAGGTAGTCGAAGAGAGATCCGTGCTCGTGGTAGTCGGAGACGAGCCACAGCTGAGTCCACGTGCCGTTATCTGCAGCGGAGAAAAGACCACGGGGTTGCGACACCAGGCGAAGGCAGGCAGGCTGCACGCCGGCCAAGTCTCTGCTCCCTGCGCTGCACTCGTTACCTTTGTTATCCGCAGCGATGAACCCCAGGATGTTCTCGTGCCGCAGCATCACGGTTTGATAGATTTCTGCCTCCCGAAACCAGGAACGCTCCTCGCGCGACGAGAAGATTTTGACGGCCACGTCGCCCCCGCGCCACCTGCCGCGCCACACCTCGCCGAAGCGGCCTTTCCCGATGATCTCCTGAAGGACGATGGTCCGAGCCACGGTCCGTTGGACAAAAAGCGGCAAACCTAGAGGCGAGGAACCGGAGGGATGAACGGAAGAACCTCCCGGAACCCCAAAGCCTGAAGTCAAACCCAGGAGGCTCCGCGTTGGAGAACAACCAAAACACTTTGTATCCAGAGGATGTGGTGCTCAAGGTTTATTCCCTGGCCCACTGTCGGGTTCTTACACTCCCTGCCTCTGTGCATTACCCTACAGCTTCCATCTGCTGCAAAATATATGTGTATTTTTTTTGCTTTCATAGTTCTAAGTAAGAATAAAACGACGACTTCCCAATCCATTCTGGGGATGATTTAAGTGCTACAGAACCGAACGGTGCCGCCTTTGGAAGACCCAAGAACCCTCTGGGATGAAAGCGGCTGCACAAACGCAGTATTTGCACGCCTCAAATTCCTGGCTGCTGGGATCTTTCCCATCCTCCTGCCAGCTTTGATGCAGGCACCATCCTCATCCTCCTCTGAAAGCCAACAACCCACAGGTTCACAGAGACCACCCGTTTCCACCTCGAATCCAGGTCCAAGGCTAAATCTGAAATACACCCGGCTGTCTGAGCCAACCCTCTTGCAGAAAAGGAGGGAAGCTCCAAAAAACTCACCGTTTTTATCCAAAAAACTCACCGTTTTTACACACCAGCAGCTAAGGAGGGGCCCAGCTACTGCCCTTACCCAGCCTAAGCACTGGACACTGACACAGGGGTGACAGAACGGAAACCTCGGCCTCCACGCGACTCACGACGGGCCGATGAGGCAACAGCCGGGGCCAAGCTGTGGCAACCCGGAGCCCAGGAGAGACTGCACAATTTCAAGTTCTCATCCGTCGTTTCCAGTCTTATCTTCCTACCTGAGCCAGAGCCAGAGGTGGAGAGATCGTAGACGAGATCTTGCAAGGTCTTATCCTTCGAAAGGCACATTTCGCAAGAGGGGTCTTCCATGTCCAGCCGCTGCCGGTTGTGATAGACTCGCTGGTGGTGGTGGAAAACGAAGACTACGATGATCATGACAACGAACACGAGGAAGACGGGCCCGGCGATCACCGCCACCAGCTCCACGGGACCCCAGCTCGACGGCGGCTCGTTATCTTTCAGGTGTCCTTGGGAGAAAAGGCAGAAGGAAAAGCAGATGCTTGTAGGAAATGTGCTCTTTGAGGACTTTCTCCTCTCACAGCCTGGATGATTGTTCCCAGACGGCAGAGGATACACCAAATACCAGCGTTAATGCGAGACTGATCCAAGTCTCCAGGTGGGCAAAATACAGCTGAAACCCCCCAAAAGATGACGTGGGATCAGGGATTCTTGGCACTTGCTGTTTAAAAGAGGACGGGAGCCCGTTCCGGGCTGAATTTGTCAGAACAGTCGGCATTTAACCTTCCACTTGAACTCTCCAAGCGGGAGAAAAAACAACCAGTAAAGCCTTGTCTCACCCTCCTGCCCCTGGAACGGCCTCATACCAGAAGACACCAATTATGTGTCTTTTTGAGACCACAGGAGAATTCCCCACTGCGGTCCCCACACGACCCACTAAAAAAGAGCCCAAACCAGAGCCAGGAGGCAGGAGGAAGCCCCACGAGCTCTCTCTGTGCGTGGAATGAGAAAGAAGCCGATGTTTCCCACACCCTCACTCGGAGGCAGGGCTGCTGCCTCTTTGTGTGTTCGGAACCCAGGCACCCCCCCACAAACACACCCCACTTCGCTCTGAAGTTGCTGCAACGCTCCCGTACCCGTGGCTCATCGCTGGGACACATTTGTAAGTCCCAGGAGAAGGGAAGTCACGTCATAAATGCACGAGCGAGAGCCAGGAAAGGGATCCGAGCTGAGCCCAGGGAGAACAAAAACCAAAGCCAAACTTTGGCAACTTCTCCTCCCCTGAAGTACAACTTCATCACCTGGCGACACCTGGCTGGCCACAGCGGCGTTCAAGCAACTTCGTGTTTTAATTTGAAGTGGTTTGTTATTATTTCCACTTCACCAATCAAGGAAATAAGCCTAGTGCTCGAGTTCACGCACCCACCTAAGGGAAAAAAAAGGGCCGAGGACTCCTCATCCCCAAGCCCAACCCGGCAAATCTCCTCCCCAGCTCAAAAAGACCGTTTCTCCAGCTCTCTACTCACCGCTGGGAACCATCAAATCGATTTTGTTGCAAAAATCAGAGTAGCAGCAGTGGGTGTTGCGCAGATCTTCGGAGCTCAGGCAGTAGAAGGGCTTCCCAGCAGGGATGAGTTTTGCCTCAGGAATGCAGGTCCGGACGTGGTGTTTGACGCCGTCCAGGTTGAAGACCGAGACCATGCAGGCGCCGTCCGTTTCGCACGTGGAGTTCGCTTGTTTGCAGTCGGAGCACAAACATGTAAGAGCTGCAGAAACCAGAACGAGACCAAACTCCTTCAACCAAACGCTCAACCTAGAGAAAACCTGCCTCTGGAAATTTCCCGTTTTGGAGGGGACGGGCCACTCTCGGGCTCAGGGGAACCGGCTTGAGGAAGCCCTGCTCAGCATTTCGGACCCACAAGAAGCCGATTTAAACCCAAAATGTAATGAGGAAGCAGACGACCGGCCCGACAGCCCCTTCCCCTGCCCCTGTCGCAATCGCTGCCAGCGACGATCCGAGTCATCCCTGCGAACTCGGCTGGATTTTACCGACATCCACTCCCCCGCGAGCCAGGGTCAGGACTCGCCTCGAAAGCCACACTTACCCAAACCGACTGGATTTCACCCGACCTTGCTGCCCACGGGGGGTTAGCGAGGGGCGGCCACCCCGGCTCGCGGGAGAAAACGACCGGTCTGCAGCCGCCAAACCGAAAAACCAAACCCCCAAACACTCCACTCAAACCGACCGCACCAGCCAGGGACGCTGCACCCAGCCGGAGCTGCCGCGTCTTTAGCAACTGCTCTCCTGCTCCCGAGACGCTACCTTGGGTCAAATAAATTCCTGGCTTTTTGCCCGCCCTCCGCAGAGATTATTTGGGTAAAGAGCGAAGCAGAAACTCCGAGGCAGATTCCCACATTTCTTATTTTTTATTGAATTTTTTTTCCCCCTCCCAGCTGTCACTGTGCTTTTTCTCCAGCCGCCTATAAAAGAAAAACCTGTGAGCAAATCCCCAGGCATCGCCGGCCTCGGGAACAAAGAGCGAACACAACAATGTCAAGACGAAGGGTGGGGCTTGTTTAGCAGCGCGGCGGTGGAGTATTTTCTTCGGCTTTCATCAGATCTTTCGGGCTCCCCCCGGAGGGATTGGGAAAACATGTACTTACCCGCCGCCGCGGCAGAAATGGTCTTTCAGGTGGAGAGAGTCTGAAAGGAGCGTTTTGAAAAAGATCCGAGTGCCACGGTTAACTCTTCCCCAGCCCAGGGGTGAAATCCTTCTCCAAGTCGCCGTCCCCACCCTCCCCAGGGGAAACCACGCAGAGAAGGGCTGAGAGCACCAGCGCCCGGGATCGTCACACAGTTTGGAAGGGGAAAGTTTGCCATGAAAGGATAAAAAACAAAAAAAAACCCCCAAACCAAGCTCACTAATGTTCAACTTGACAAACAGCTCCGAGTTCGCAGTTTTCCAGCAGAGCGCAGAAAAGACAATTCTTCCGCAAAACGGGCGCGCTTGGGGGAACAAAGGTTGGTTATAATGGAGATTTTATGAAGACGGGAGATAGGAAAGAGCTGCCAGGGCACATTCCTCCCTTCAAGTCTACTTAAAAGGAAACAGCGCTTTAAAGCATCTCCTTTATGGCTTTATCACAAAAAACTCCAGGCACAAATTAAAAACGTTTCAGCCACACGCACTTCACCGCGTAGGCTCCTTTCAGCTCGACCCGGAGCGAGCAGAAGGGAATTTGGTTCTTGTCAGACTCATTTCTAAGGTCTCAAACCCCAGGTTTAGGCTGGGGCGGTTCTGCTCTTCCAGAAGCTCACAAGTAAACAAAACACATCCGACGCGCCGATAAAACTGGTTTTGTCAACTTCTTGAAGAATCTGGCCTGAAACGAAGCACCCCTTTGAGCAGGAAAGCAGAGGAGCTGGTTTTATCTGCTCGGTTTCCTTTGTAGAATTAAAAAAAAAAAAAAAGAAAAATCATTTTGCCTGCCAGGTGTGATAGCAGAGCCCCAGCACACAGGGATCCTTATCTGTTCTGGGGAGAAGTTTTCTGCTAGGAGGGGTACGCCCCGCGGAGCAGCGCCTCGGTTCACCCCGGCCGTTCTTTTTTAACAGCAATTCTTGTGCTTGCGCCTCAAAAAAGAGAATTAAGCCTTTGGCACCCAGGCCTACTCCTCTACATCTTTCATGAGAGACCCTCGAGGGGTTTTCCAGATATTCCTGTCCATAACCTCTTGGCTCAGGGATCCTCCAGCAAAATGAGAGGGCAGCTCCCAGGGGCCCAGCACTTCAAGTCCGACTGACCAGCAGGGAGAAAGAATTCTTCCTGTACCGGTGACACCAGAAGCCAGGGAAGAACAACTTGTTTCAGGCAGGGTCAGCCCCCCGTGAGGAGCTGGGGATGCTAAAGGAGAAAGGAGCTGGGAAAAGCACTTTTCGTGCCAACGGGCCTTCTTTCTCTTCAGGAAGAAAAGCTCCCATTGAGCAAAACATATAATCTACCTAATAAAAAAAAAAGAAACTTGACTGGGCTGAAGGAAAGAGATGGGGCAAAGGAAAACAAAGGAGCAGCTCAGGGAGTCAGCTCCCCTCTCGCTGCGCCCGGGGACGGCGCTGGAGGAGCTGGCAGCGGCGCCGGCTCGATCTGCTCGGGCACAAACCCAACCCTCTGGAGAAGCTGCTCAAACAAGCCTCACGTTGGGCTGCGGATCCTCAGGAGGAAAAGCTTTGTTCTCGCTCAAGAGACGGGAGCCGGTCGGGA